CAAATATCTGAACTGTGCCACATTTTCGAAACATCTGTTTTCTATTTTATGTCATGATTTTGCCCTGCATTTTGGTGTTCAAGTAAATAATATCTGTAAAAAGTATAATTTAATATCTCCACTATGAAAACGAGGTAACTGTATTAAGTAGAAAGAAGGCAATTGGATCAAAAATAGTTTGAGAAGATAAGATATAAGAATAAGTGAAACATTACAGTTATTTAGGATGTGATGTCTGCTTTGACAATGATCACACAAACAATGAGAAAGCAAAGCACCAAAGGTTATGTGGAACAATAAAATGTATGTTTAATGAGGAAATTAAGAAAATTAAGATTTTTATGAAGTCTCTGTAGTCCCTGTTCTATTGTGATTTGGAGTCATGGATTTTTGAGGAGCAGAAGATTAAATTAAGATTACATCAGCACAAATTAAACCCCTATACTCTATGAAGGGATGTACAAGGGAGGACAGAATACCAAATCAATAATTTAGAAAATAGTTACAGATATCTGCAATCCAGGCTAAAAGAACAGCATATAAACATTTCTGGAAGTTGGATCAAATGAATCCTGACTGTCTACCAGGACAAATTCTGGATATACCAGCCAAGATGGAAAAAAGATATAAGCAGACCTGAGAAGGGATGGAGCTGCAGTTCAGAGTTCTTCTGCCTAATTCTGGAATGCAGAGGAGGAGGAGGAGGAGGAGAAGAAGAAGAAGAAGAAGACGAGGAAGAAAACTGCAGTGAATACTCAATAAGGACAGCTCAACTAGTCACTGGACTGAAGCTGGAATCAAGGACTTCCTGAACACAAAACAGGAGTGCTAGCTGTCACACCATAACTTTCAGTTGTAAAAGAGATCGTGGGAAGTCAGAAATATTGAAGGGGACTCTTTATTCATGCTTTTATAGTGAAATTTTGGAGGATACTTCAAAGCGTTTCAGTTTATGTCTTATACCATCTTTGAAGTTTCCTGCAATATCACTGCAGTATCTTCCCATTTCTTCAGTGATTTCTGGACTAACGCCAGTCAATCATTTGTAGGATCGATACAACATGGACTGTGATTCTAAGAAGAAGATTGTAGAATTTTACTATAAATATATTTTTGTCTCCTGCTATGTGTCACATCTAATGCATTCTCAAGTAGGCAATCAGCATCTCATTGTTGTGATGAGCACATATAAAATGGAGACATTGCATCATGTATTCTCAACTTCTCTACAATGGGAGGCTAGGTGAAAAATCAGTAAGCTCAAACAATCACGTATTTTCTGCATAAATTACTTCTGCTTCATGCCTGGGAGACATTCAGTTCAGATCTTGCTCAACAGACCAATTTCCTAATTTTTCTCAGTCCCTCTGGGTTGGGTCACAAGAATGCCCTTGTAACCACTCCCCTACTTGGCACACTATGTGACACACACTGACAAGCATGAAACAGATGTTACATAACCTACACAGCTATCAATGCTTGACAGTAGCTTGTGCCACCATTGAGCCAGCATCCTACAAGAGAAGCTAGTAGGTTACTCATAAGATTGCCCTTGCAACCGATCCCTTACTTGGCACACTGTGTGACACACACTGATGAGCATGAAACAGATGTTACATAACCTACACAGCTGGCAATGCTTGACAGTAGCTTATGCCACCATTGGGCCAGAATCCTACAACAAAAAGTATTAAGTTACTCAGCATGAGGACACTCAGGTGCTTACATTGCTCAGGGTGGCAACACTGCTCCATGAAACTGCGCTGCTGGGAGTCGCACCGAGATGCTGGCGTTGGCTCCTCACATCCTCTCTCACCACGCTGCACAACACAAACATTCTGTTATTGCCATGGGGTGGTGGGTTCAAGTCCTGGAGAGACAAGGACAACATGGTGTACCTGTGACTCTGGGGTTCTTGTGGTGTTCGTGTTGGTGTTGGTGCCTTCTGGGTCGCCTTGTCAGGGGAGAAGGTTGTGGATCGGCGCAGGGGGGCAGGGGAATCTCGGGGGGTGCAGGGCAGCGAGGCCAATGGTGGTCCTACATCTGATGGCTGATCTACAGTCAACTGTTGCTCCTGGTGGTGAGCTGTGGTACTACTGTCTCCTACCACCTCATACTCCCTACGGCATACACCACAGTTGATTGTCTGTTAAGTAATGAACTGAACATAAATGCATGACTCCATGTAGCAGGGACAAACATGGAACTATACCAATCACTGATTCGTCATAGCAAGGAGTCTCAGGTTCAATGCTGTCATGTAAATCTGACTCTTTAACAGGTGTTCTAAACACAAACTTGAGTCACATAAACCATTCTAACATCAAACACAAATCCATAGTGCCCAGCCTGAGGTCATGAATTAATCCATGGCAATCATTACGTTTCCAAACATGAATTCATAGAGACCACTAAAAGGTAAAAAAAATGAATCCATAGCAAATACTGGGAGGTGAAACATAATGTAAATCCACAGCAATCATTGTGAGGTCACACAATTACAGCAAAACTGTAAAGTTGGACATAAAGCTATGTGGAAGCCTGTTTATGCTGCTTGCTGCACCAAAAGGAAGTATGCTATTCTGTTAGGGCCACTTGATAGCATAGTTGGTTGAAACACTATGCTACAAGCCAGAAGGTCGTGGGTTTGATTCTGCATGAGGTCACTGGATTTTTAAATTTACCTACTCCTTCCAGCCACACTGTGGCCCTGGGATTGACTCAGCCTCTAACAGATATAATTACCAGGAATCTTCCTGGGGAGTAAAAGGTGGTTGGCATTTAAGGCTGACAACCTCACCACCATCTGTGAGTCGACTGTATAGAAAATATGGGAGCCTTGACATCTCACAACCCTATGGGCCTCTATGTCCTGTTACAGGCACAGCTTTACCTCTATCATCCATTCTTTTAAATTTTATGCAATGTTTAGAGCTGTGTGTTTGCAGCTTATAAAATTTACATGCAAGGATCTGTCACTTGCAGAAGGGAGCTGACAACTGTGGTTCTCTGTCACTGCACTGAAATGTAGAACTCACGGCTCCGAGTCGAGACCCTCATCCCGTTCTTCCTCATCACAAAGCCTGGTGTGAACGGTGGCACAACCTGGCCGCAGCCTCTTGATGCTGATGACCTCACTCAGAAGAGTGGAGCATGATGGGGCAGAACCAAGTTCGCTGTCCCGCGACATCGCCAGCTGATACTTCTGGTACCGGAACAGTGACTGAGCAGCCAGCAGTGCTGACACCAACAGCACAACTGCCACGAAAACTGCAGCCAGTAAGTGCACCATGGACAGCGCGGGACTGTTTGCAGAGAGCACAGCCACTTCTTCCAGGGACAAGGTCATGTTCCTGGGCAGAGGGGCTGCAAGAGCAGGAACACTGAGGATAAATTCAGGGTTAAAGCAGCCTAATGCAGATCGCAGTAAGGAGAAAGTCAAGCTACTTAGCCCTCTTACAACGTCTTCATTACAAAAACTGCTCCTTCAGTTTAAAGACCTAAATAACAGATGTTCAGTTCCTACCTCACAGGAAAATAGGCTATGGTCACTTCCTCCTCTACCTATCGACATCAGAACAAAATACAAATCCATTCAGATGATATGATCTTCCTCAACCAGTAGGTCTTCTGCCTCGTTTCTGGTTGAGTGTCTAGTTCAAATCTCGGCTGGGACACCAGCTTTCCTAACTAATGTGCTTTGTGATTTTCATCAGGTTATACATGAGATGCCACATATCACTTCCCTCCTCCTCCTTTCCAACATATCATCCAGTAATCATCACACCATTCACACTATACAGTGTGAGCTATAGACAGCAGCTCTAAACTGAGATGTGAGTCTATTCTGGGATCTATAGAGTTCAGCTGCATTACCTGTCTGCTCAGCAAGTGCAAGGAAGCTGCCAAGACAGGCAGGGACCACGTCATCTGAGAAGAAATCAAGGAGCAAGTAGTTGGAAGTGGACGTGAAGGCATGGGACGTCACACGCCCCGACAGATAAGCCACCAGGGTGGCTGCCAGGGAGTCACCATCCCGCACCTTGAGCCACTGCCTTCCACATGGCAGCCGCAAATGCACAACGGTCAGCCGGATCACTGATCCTGCATCTGCCTATGATAAGAATCACATTACTGTGACCACACAAGAGTCACTTACTGTGCAGATGCAAAAATATTGAACCTGATACTTCAGAGGAGTAGCTGAAATGATATTCACCCACAAAAGAGCATTCAGTAACATCTTTTTTGTTTGTGACAGGTGTAGAGGAATATAACTTTATAGGTTCACCCAATAATTGTCTATTTTGAGAGACATGTGGGATTGTATTAAACAGTATAATATTAAATAGTAGGGGTCATTTTGTCGAAAAAGAAGCAGAGATTTTGAAGCAAACAGCTCCTTTCAATACCATTCACTGTGGATGGGCATAACATCACAGGATGTAATGAATGACTGTACAAGATGGTGTAATCTTTTTGTTGATTTGTAGATGGAAATCTTTTAATGTAAGATTTAAATTTGCCCTGTGATTCCAGAGACCTGACTTTCAAGTTATACAACACAGATAGAACTGAAAGTGAAATGAATTTCAGCCTGAAATGATAAAATATGAGCAGAATTCATATTTCTCTAAGAGGAAGTATATTCATCAATTTTGAGTTTACATGCCATGAGCTTGATGCCCGTACTGTCTAGATATGGCTGATGAAATGATCTGCATATATTTGTTTGTGTGCAGGTGTAGGAAGCCATATCAGGAGACTTACCTGAATAAGCCAGAACGTCCTGCCAGGACAGCTGGCTGTTGATGTGGCAAGAATGCGTCTTGGCTTGGCAACACTGAGATGGACAACACAGCCACAGCGGCATCCTGGGCCCACCTCGGCCACGACTCCCGGATGGTCAACAGGCAATGAAGATGAGGGTGAGAGGAGACAGCCCCAGGACTCAGTTCCATCTCTGCAGGATTCTGACTGTAGGGATGGTCCCTGAAACAGTTCCCGCACCTCTGTAACTGTTAGGGCATGAATTATATTCCCATCTTGCACTGAACTCTTTAGAGAGGGAGAGAAAACGAACACGGGGTTTGTCCACATTGTAATGATTTGTAATTTAAAGAAATCCTGACATTTGTGATCAACGTTTCGCCTCCATCTTCAGGATCAAAGAGTAAGCAAAGCAAGAAACCAGAAAGAAGCAGGTGTCACCATTTCTTCTGACCTACACAGTGTCATCATGAAAACTCACAGACACAATGTCCAGATGGCGAAGAGCCTGTAACTATGAGCGAAATATCTCATAGGTAGCACAGAAACTGTGAAGTCTAGAACAGTACATTCAAGAAATTATGCTGCATTGAGATTTTCCTCCTTGCTCTTAGGCACCGGTATATTTGCAACCAAAATTCTATTCTCTATATGTCTATCCCATCTTTCCACTCACCTCACAGAACCTGGCGCCGTACCTGGGAGCCGGCGAGTCGCACAATCGGAACCTGCTTCGTGTGCCGCCCCCACAAGAAGAAGTGCAGTGTGTCCAGGGGCTCCAGGCACCCCATCCCCCAGTGTCTGACTCTACGAGAGACCAACGCAACGGAATGGAGTGGGTATCAGAAGAGGAGGAGATAAAGAAATAAAGAAAAGACAACAGAATATTAAAAAGGAAAAGTACGAAGAATATTAGACATGCCTTTCCAGGGCCCCATACTTTTATTCAGCTTTTATCCTTCTGTAATTTAGTTTAGCTGCGAACCAAAGGATATGGGTTCAATTACCGGCAGGATGAAGACACTTCTCTCTTCTCACCTCAATGGTCTGACCAGCTGTCAGGTTTGCCCCGCCTCCTCTCCCATGGGTGGCAAGAGTTCTTGTCCTGGGGGTTAAGCTGACCACTGACCCTTTCTTGTGGGCTACTTAGACTACATTGCATCAAATGGCAGGTTGGCCGATGAACTGGAAAGGAACTGGAAAGAAGCCTACAATCTCGGTACATAAATAACGTGACTGAGAAAAAACACTCAAATTCTCACTCGGGATAATCGGTGTCCCAAGCGAGATTCAAACATAGCACCGCTCAAATACAAGTCTAGAGCGTTACTTTTAGACCACCCTGCTCGGTACCAGTCACAACCATCCAGTGCTGATATCAAGAATGATTTCAGGTATGCCTCCATTCCCCCATACGTCTTCTGGGCGTGGTGCTTAATTAAGCACAGTTTACTTTAGTGTGTATACAGATATGGATAAAGAGACGCCACCCCGTCAGGCTCCAGAACCGGTTGCAATTTCAGTAATGAATTCTCAAAACTCGACAAACTCACACTGAAACATGTTCTAATCTCTCAATTAGAGTTGCTTTACTGCGCCGCAATAAAACAGCGGTTCATTACAACTGGCCTCGTGGGGCCGCTGTAAATGCAGGAAGGAAGGGCGCGTCCTCACGTAGTCCCTATTATTACGTCATCAAGATATGTGGGCGCCAGTCGGGCACATGTCCACCTTGTGGCGGGAACGGCAGTGACAGTGAATAGGCTGAGTTAGAGACCAGGGTTCGATTGACGTAGTGGAAGTCATTACCTCCTGAAGACCAAAGCTGGTATACGAGTATACTACATTTGGCTACTTCCGGTATTGACACGGCGGCGGGAAATTCAGACGTACTTAAACAACAAATTTCTTCCGTCAGGTTGCCTACACCAAGTGTGACGTATCCTCGTCTGTACAGTGGATGGACTTCAATATATTAGAGTAGGTCACGACCATTTATTTTCCAATTCATTATTCACAGCCATCTTCCCATGAACTGCTGCATAATAACTGAAAACTAGAAAGGGTGTCCTGGCGGTAATGCTCTAGATTGTGTACGGGAGGCTCTAAATTCCAATCTCGGCCGAGGTTTTCCCAGTCTTCCCTAGTCTCTGGGGGGAAAATGCGGGAATGTACCTCGATTAGGCCATTACAGCTTCCTATCAGATCCCTTACAATTCATCAAATATCCTACCGTTTGACACTATGCAGTCGTTAAATAAAACGGAGGGAGCTCGACGTTTCGGAGGAGTACATCATCTTCAGGGTGAAAGAGTAAGCCAAGCTAGAAGCCAGTTGAGCTTTGTTGCCTGCTTCTGCTGGTGTGTTCCTTGGCTCTCTTGTCGACCCGGAAGGCAGAGGCAATGTGTTCCTCCGAAACGTAGCGTTCCCTCCAAACTACACGACATTACAAACCGTAAGCCCGCGCTCTTGTTGTGTGTATGTATGCACAGGTTCACTTGCAGCGCTGAATCAGTTTGTATTATACAGAGTGGTTAGGGATTTGAATCCTGGATAAAGTGAAATGGCAAGATGTATAGATAACCAGTGACTTCACCAGGAGAGGGCAGAGAGCACAGCGGTTGTCCAACAAAAATGTTTACAAATCAATGCTCATAGAAATGTGAATTTTTAAGTGCTCTGTACACAGTGTGCTTCTTTCAGGAATTTGTGTTTTTCCTGCCCTTTCAATGTTGTAGTCAGTTTTGTGGTGCATGTGTTCAAGAGAAACCCGTACCTTGCACGGGCATGGTGGGCACACAATCCATCCGCACGTCCGTCACGGCGCCCGTTACAGCCTGGTTCACGTATACGAAGCAGTACTCGATGTAGCGCTCCGAGAAGTAGTCGCAGTCGAACCGGAGGCTGTGGGCCCCGGGGGGAACACGCTGCTCCGCTACGTAGTGCAGTGACGTGGGGGGCGCCAGGGACGCAACGTCGGCCCGCAGCTTGGCAAACAGTCGCACGCGATCCACGCGTGGCTCACATGCAGGATACTGGAACAGCACAGCCACGCCCCCGTCCAGAGAGTCGCAAGGCAAGATGCTCCGCGCATGCACGTTGAACACGAACCTGTCGCTCACTG